ATGGGCCGAGGCCAGGGTTACTGCTGAACATCCTAAGTGCACAGGACAGCCCCCCCATACAAGAGAATCACTGAACCCCAAATGACAGTAGTGCTGATATTGGGAAACCTCATGCCAGAGTAGTGTATGTGACTGGGTATTCCCCCCAGCACATCCTCCTCTGGCCATGCAAATGAGGTTACTTGGCAACTCGACCTGCCCTCTTCAATAAATCCAACTCTTTATAAATTTACTGGAAGGGATTTTGTTAACTAATACCAAAAATTCTGACCAAGAAAGATGGCCATGTGGGAGGCTGGACTAGAGGATGAAGAAGACCCATGTGCCTTTGTCCCTGACATTAAGGGTGGGGGCCTTCCAGGTACAAATCTCATCATGGATGGTGAATCCCACAAAGGTAACATGTGCCTTATCTATGCATAAGCATGGACATTATTATACACAGGTTAGTCACCTGAGTAACTCTCTCATCTGGGTAAATCTTTATCTCCAATTGTCACGTGATCACTAACATTATGACACGCCTATTTCCACATGACAGCACCATTTTTCACTTTAATGGTTCTGCCAAATTGTCTCTCAGCTACAGATAGGTTGGGATTGGGGCAGAGCCACGTTAGTGAATGGAGACATATGAACAAGGACATCTTCTGGCTGCCAGGTTCTCTTCAATTATATGGCAACGCTCTTAACCACAAAGTCAAAACTTGACCAAGAAATTGGCTTGAAGGAGAGCAAGTTATATAGTAGAAAATAGGGAGAAATATTCAGAAGGAGACACAGAGATCTTGTCCATGGTGTGTGGCCAAGAACACAGGTGGTTCCAGTAACCTGCCCTATCAAACTCATCTTTACATAGATTAAATGAGATCCTCATTTAAGTATTTAGCACAGAGCCTTGGTGCATTGTAAATGCTTGAGAAATGTTGACACTGACACAGATAATAGCAATATACTTGGGGATCCCTTTTGGCCCTCGGCTAACTCATTTGGTGAAGATAAGATAAAAAGCCATTTTCCTAGGCTTCTGCATGTCAGGGATGTAGGGGGGTCTTGGGCCCATAACAGGTGCTCAGTAACTATTAGCCCCCATTCTTCTTCCAAGGGTTTCTCTTCTCCCACCCACCTCACTGGACCACAGATCAGGGTGAAGGTCTCCTGTCCATGGCGCCCCCCTCTACCATGGTCCTGCCTAAGACCCCCTGCACAGCCCGGCCCAAACCCTCCACCTGTCCCCCCGCTCCACTGCTGTCACCCGGTATTGACAAACTTGCAGCCAGCAGATCATACTCACAGTGTGAGGGAATCATTACCTCCTGCTAATATTTTTATAGAATTTCATAAACTTGGTCATTCATGAATCATTTACAGTACTTTATTCCAATGAAGAGTTCACAAATCACTCAAATGCTGGCAAAATGCATAATAATGAGTCATATTTCAGGAGGCTTTGCATTAATATGTCAGCTTCCAATACTTCAAGAGATAAATTATTTTGCCAGGTGCTACTTCGGGTCAGAAGTACGGGAAGCCCTTTGGGGGGCTGGGGCAGGGAGCAGTGGTGAGGAGGCCGTGAGAGGGTGTCTAAGAAGTCACACTCCATCTGGCCAATCGCAGCCCCTTCCCTGGCCCAGTAAGCAGAGCTCCCAGGAAGGGGAGTGAGGACTGTGCAGATTAGATGTGAAAATCAAGCTGAGGGTAAATTAGGAAGAAGTGTTTCTTAGTATGGAAAATGCAGGGCTTAGAGCTGCAGAAAAGCAAGTATGGATCCCAAATCCAATATGTACTGGCTGTGCGACCTTGAAATAGTTGTTTAACAGTTATTTGCTTATCTGTAAAATGGTGTTAACACCTACTTCCCAAGTCTCTTGTGTGAAATGGATTAAATAAGAGAAAGCATCTGAAGTGTTTAGGACAATATCTAGCATGTAGTGTTTAATAAACAGGAGCTCCGATGATGGTTCATATCAGGGGCCCAAGGACGACTGCGTCCCTGATTATTTCTTATCACACAGATCCCTGAGGCTCAGATCAAAATGCTTTCTCGTTGGATTTGGGAAATGTTAACACATTAGCATGTACTTGCACGCAAGCAGCATTTAACTTTAACATAAACAACAACACTGGAGCAATTATGACAGCAATACATCCTGCCTTTTAAACTTACAAGAGTGGAAATGAAAACATGGGGATTTGGAGGCCTGGATTCTGCTCTTTGAAGAAGCAGGTTCGCTGCCAACAACACCGACTTCCGTGAACACAATGGATGTTGCTGTGTTACCAAGGCAGTGAAGTATTTCTAAATAGGTGTTTGGAATGGACTGGAATTGTCACATCCACGTGCCTGAGAATACCAGCAAAGGAGTAAGCTACTTCTCATTGAGTAAAAATAGGAGAACCAGCTCGGTGCCCACATCTCAGTGGTTAGGGTGCTGGCCACATACACCAGGGCTGGAGGGTTCAAACCTGTCCTGGGCCTGCTAAACAACAATGAAAATTGCAACAAAAAAACCCAGCTGGGTGTTGTGGTGGTTGCCTGTTGCCCCAGGTACCTGGGAGGCTGAAGCAAGAGACTCCTTAAGCCCCACAGTTCGAGGTTGCTGTGAGCTGTGATGTCACAGTACTCTACTGAGGGCGACACAGTGGGACTCTCAAATAAAATAAAAAATAGAAATAGGAGAACCAAGGACAGAACCATCAGGACCTTCAGATCTTAGGGACCTTCAGACTGAAAAAGCAGGGCAATTACAGAACTGAAGGGCACGAGGCAGGGAGGGAAGTAGCCTTAGAAACCAGACCATTAGGAGGAAAGTCAAGGGTGACTCAGGCTTTGCCCTGGTTAGGTCACGGCAACTCTGTGCTGAGTAAGAAACTGCTTTCCCACCAAGTAGCAGTAGCCATTCCAGTAGGCATATGTAGCCCTGTACCGGGGTAAAGCAAGCCATATGATCAACAAGCACAATTCTTGCCATGTCACCTACATACAATAATAAGGAATTTAAATCAGCTTATTCGGAAATGAAGCCTTGGAAGGAAAGCTGAGATTCCCTTACCTCCTGTTAGGATGTCCTCACCCTAGAGAATAGATGTAGAATGGATGAATTAATTGATTAAACCATCTATATGCTATTAAGTAGATAATGAAACTATGATAAAAACTCAAGATTATTCACAGAGAGTCATGTGTGAGATGAGCAGGTTGGGCCCATCTCACAGTCCTTGGAGTCTTCATTTGCCTTGTTTTGGCCTGAACGTGATTGATCTTTCCCACTCATGTGTCAGATTATGCTGTGCTTATCATTCTAAATTCTTGACATGTATAATTTACTTAATCTTCACGAAATCCTATGAGGTCATCATCAACTTCATTGTTATTATTCCCATTTTCCAGGTTGGGAAGTTGAGTCAGACACCGGCCAAGTTCCCACAGGAAAGCCATGGCCTGAATCCAGCCAGTGTGGTGCCTGCAGAGTCCCTGTTGTTAGTGACCATGATGTTCTGTGGCCTCACTTTCAAAGAAAAGTATGAGATATGAGATACTCCAAGCTATAGACCAACCTCTATTTTATTAGCTAATTAGCAAACACTAGTAATTTCATCGTCTGTGATCCTTGGAGATGCTAGTAGTAGCTACACTTTGTGGACAAGAGTCACGAGATCAGGGAGGAGAAGAGAGCTGCCCAAGATTTCACAGCTCAGTACGCAGCCACGTTTAGAGAGATTTGAATGACAATTTTCTGACCCTGGAGCTCTTAATCACTATGCTATGAAATTGTGAAATTTATTGTTCCTTGTGTTTGAAATGTAATGGATAATCCCTGACAGGCAGGGAAGGAGCAGAGGACACCTACACACAGTCTGTTGCTAGTTTTTCCTACAGTGGCTGGACACTTATAGCTGCTGGTCACCACTGGTTACAGTCAAATCTCCCATGATGCCAATGGACAGTTTCTACAATCACCAAACTCTCCCTTGGGTACGTGCTGAGAAGACAAATGGCTCCTTCCTCACTGACAGGTGACACCCCTGTGGGTGCTCAGAAGAGTCTTTGGCAAGGCTTCCAAGGGGGGAGTCTGGAAGGCACCCGTATTGTTCCAGACCCCAGGCCTTTGAACACATTGTTCAGCGTGAGACCCATCAGAGGTAGGGACCCCACCACCTGCCATCCTTCCGCCACACTGCCTTGTCTGTCCAGTACTTTATGCCTCCAACACCCTTATATTAAATAGTATCTTCTCATTGGAAGCTCACAGCAATGCAGTGGAGTAAGTAAGAAAAACAAAGATGACAGTAACTCCAAACCATGGCCATTAATGCTGTTTCTTTCTCTACCATATTTCTTAAACATACACACATCACGATGTATGCAAATACTTAATCCATAATAAGGATAACGTATGGGTTTGTATGTTCTGTTTCTATTCAATACCACATCCATTGAATCTTTCACATTATAACTAAAACTTCTTTAAAAGAATTTTAAATGGCTATAGAAAACTGCCTTGCAAAACGTGCTGTAATTCAAACTCTCCTCTATTGCTGAAGATTTAACAATTGTCTTCATTTCAAGGACTAAGTCTTACTATAACAAAACTGAACTGAATTCCTCCACATTCCCTTAGAATAGATTTCTAAAAATAGAATGTCTAGGTCTGAAGATTACACTTTTTACAGCTCTAGATCATCCAGCTAATCTCTGGAAAGCCAAAGTTGACCCAGAGGGCTTCACAGAAGCGGCTCTGACCTCCTCTGAACTGCCCCCAGGTCTCCCTTCTTAGTCTCCTCTACCCAAAGTCTGATGCAGGCCTAGAGGGCTCCATTGATGAGATGGAGACCCCCACTGTTACCCTGTCAGGGTTCAACTCCAACTCACACAGTAACACCCTAAAGCCACACAGTCCTGGGTTTGGCAAGGCACAGAGATAATGAGCTCAGTGGGAAGAAAACAATCTTTGAAAGCCATGTCTCTGCATGCAGGGTGGGGAAGAAAGGCCACTTACTTGATAAGTAGCAATCATTTCTCTATCCAAGGACCGTGTCACGGAGACGCTCCCCGTGTTCTCATTGATTCTGAAAATTCCTTTAGGCTCTTGATCCACTCCCTTTCCAGTGAGCCGGAACTTGGACCCTTCCGGTCTGTCACTGTCGACTACCTGGTGAGAGAAACACACCGACATTTAAGACTGTCTGAAAAACACAGAGAAAGCACATTAAAAACCTAACTCAGGGACCCATCTACTAATCATGGGTTCAACACACAGGTGCCTGCAAAGATTTGACAAAAGTAGCGCTGCCTAAAATAGGATCATTGTTCAATACCTTCCATCCTGTCATCCAAACCTTGACAGCTATCAGCTGGGGAACTTACCAGCACTCAGGTGATGTGTAGTGATGGACCCAGGGGGGCAATAATTGCAAAGTGGGGGCATTTTTATTGTTTCTAACTCCAAGAAATAAAATTTTGTTTTACTTTCTCTGTGAGCAAGATGAAATAGGCAATGAAAACAATTTATTTGACAATCTTACACTGCTGTGGCCCCCAACCTCAGTTCATGTTAGGAACTGGGCTTGCACAGCAGGAGGTGAGCCGCAGGCCAGTGAGGGAAGCTTCATCTGTATTTGTAGCTGCTCTCCAGGACAGCATCACCGCCTGAGCTCTGCCCCCTGTCAGGTAAGCAGCAGCATTAGATTGTCATAGGAGCACAAACCCTTCTGTAAACCGTGCACCTGAGGGACCTAGGCTGTGTGCTCCGTATGAGAATCTCATGCCTGATCTGAGGTGGAGCCGAGGACATACACAACACACTTCACTGTGTGTCATTGTCTCCCATTGTCCTGCAGATGAGACCATCTAGTTGCAGGAAAACAAGCTCAAGCCTCCCACTGATTCTGCAGTATGGTGAGTTGTATAATTATTTCATTATGTATTATACTTGAATCACCCAGGAACCATGCCTCACTCTCGATACATGGAAAATTATCTTCCATGAAACTGGTCCCTGGTGGCAGAAAGGCTGGTGACCACTGCTATACTAGGCAGCGGCTGATGGATGCTCTAGATTTCACATGTATCCAGTCATCAGAAGTGCACCTAGTCATCTACACCTGCCCCATAGATTCTACTAGGAACAAGACATGGTGCTGAGAAAAAAATTCACACACACACATACACACTTAAACCTCAGAGAGTGCTGGGGACAGGGGTTATTATCCCTATTCCCTATTTAATGGATGAAACTACTGAGATGCAGAGAGATTAAGCAAGGCTGCAATGGGAAGAACTCTTGAAGAGATAAAGATGTGTTCAGAACCTCCCATTGCTCTAGAGATACTGCAACACCACATTGTCATTTCTGAATTTAATTCAAGGAATTTTTCTATAGATTTTCAACCTTGATCAGACATTTGAAGAATCAATTCAGAAGGTAAAGGTGGAGGAGGGTAGTTCCAAGCAAAGGGAACGACAAAGACAAAGGCAGTAGGTGGGAGAGGGAGAGCCTAGAGGATTTCAGAAATGGTGAGTCACTAGCATAGGTTATACAGGGATGGGCTGAGAAGCATTTAGTGGTCAAATTAAGGGGAGGAGGTATCTTTTGATGGCATTTGAAGGCGTACAACAAAAGAGAGAATTATTATATGCATTAGTTGTTTCTAGAGTTTATCCTCAAGTATTTGCCGGCATTAAATGTCACTTTATCATCAGAACCTTCGAAAGTTAATTTGATTATAGCAAAACAATTTAAAGGTCATAAACAGGATAGCTATTCAGGACATAATCTGGATAGAGATCCAGCTGCAACCAACTTGCAAATGATCAGGAACCCGCTGAAACATACTCAACAGTGCCTGGAGAGTGTAGGTGGAGTGGACGGGTCAGGAAACCTGCCTTCTCTCAGAGTGTATTAGCATCCCCCAGAGGTCACCTCAAGGGCCACCAAGCCTGCAATTCCGATGTCTGACACTAGGTGGCAGTGGTGCCTAAGGCAGCCTGAACATGATGGTTGACCAGGCAGGACCCTTGGAGGCCCAGCAAGGCATAGTTCCATATAACACAGGTTTTTTTTTTTTTCTTTTCGATTAAAACTATTCTTTATTAAAATACTTGGAAAGTTTTGATTAAACACCAATTACCTATGTTTGCATTTTTAAGATTAACAGAAAATTGGATATAAAGGAAGATTAAAAATATGGTTTGTGATAAGAATTTTCAATCACTGCTTGACTGGATTTAATGCAACTGATATTCTTCCCCTGACCCTGTCCTTTCTGTGTGGAGGGCCCATGATATCAACAGCTGTAGCTTTTTGGCTTCAACCCTGGGGTCCCAGTGCCTGGCACAGTGTCTGGAACACAGTAGCAACAAAGTACCTTAGTGAAGGATGTCACTGTTCAGACAGCCATGTGTTACAATCCCAGATTTGCCAGTGATCGGCTGTGTGACTTTGGGCATGGACCTTTGCCTCTTAAGTCCTCGATTGCCTCAACTTTAAAATGAATCATTCCCCAGCCTTGTTGAGGCTTCCTGAGATGGTGTATGGAAAGTGCAGTTCCTGGCAGATGAAAGGGGCCCAGTCGATCACAGGTAACAACTGCAATGCTAATAGAATGACCACAGCAAACCTAGAGTATTTTTGATGCTTCCAGGCACAAGATGCATGTTAGACATCATGTAAAGAAGTCCCTTTCTGAGGGAACAGAATTCCTCTGTAAAAGCAAACCTGGCAAACCTTTCTGAAGTGAAGTGATCTGGGAGCAGACTCCCCAGGTGGGAGGGGCACTGGGCACGCCTGGCTCTTCTCGGTCCCTGCCATCAACCTCCACTGAGATGTGCATTGCCCTTGCTCTCCTAGGCACGCCAGAAATAGGCAGGTTCCATCCAAGAGGTCCTGATCATTCTAATGGGAAACAAACATGAGAATCCTCCAAAGCCATGGGAAAATCATGGTTCCCAGTAAGAGCATCTGACCCCATCTGTCTCCCAGACACAGGGCTGCTGGTGAGGACCTGCCCAGAGAAGCCTTCTATATTTTTTGTTCTCCTTTTCTTAAACCTCCCCTGCTCAGAAAAAGTTGGGAACACAGCACCCAGAAATTCTGGAAGAAACACCGTGGGCGGTGGGCCTCTTGGGGCAAATATCACCACTCTCTTCTCCCTCTGCCTCGTGTCCAGCACAGAAGCTGAATTTCAAACTCAGAAACTCCCCTGAGGGTGACACTCCCTTCTGCTGCCCAGGATGGATCTGGGTCATTTCCTTGTGCTATCTCAGAGAGCTTGAGCTACCTGTTGAATTAGCCCTTGCTGCTGGATGAAAAGGATTTATTTCCCAGGGAAGGAGCAAGTCCCCATGGTGAGGCCTCTGCTTAGTACTGCACAGACTCTCTGTCTCTTGATATTTTTCTGTTGTTAAGAGCATGGCAATGGATGTATCTATTGGCCCTGCCATCTGCTCTTCAAAGCTGTGCCCCCTTTGAAGACACATCCACAGCCAGGTATGGTGTCCCCAGGAAGATGAGCCTTGTGGCAGCATCTGCATGGGGCAGGGAGGGCCCCATTCTCCCTGGAACAAATGGTCTCAAGAGGTGGTTCCTGGGAACAGTGTCTGCACTCCTGGTAACTCCTTAGAAACACAAACTCCCAGGCTCCACCAAGCCCTCTGAATCAGAAATGCAGGGGTGAGGCCTGGTGACCTGAGCCTTAATAACCCCCCTAGGTGATTCTTATGTAGCTTGAAGGTAACTGCCTTGGACAGATCTCATTGCTACCCTCTTCAGGGTAACTGATACTGGTGTCTACCGCTACTATTTAGAGCCTTCTGCTAAAAATAGGCTGGGGCTGTTGCTACCTTTTTGGTAAACCTATTTTAAACACAGAACAGTAACAGGAACTCATCTTAAAACCTGTTTCTAGGATCTCAGTAAAGCAGAGCTGGTATTTTTCAAAGGTGCTAGACCGACACACGTCAGAGGCACCCCCGGGCGTGCGGGAGCCTTGGAGAGGAGCATTGGAGAGCGGAGCATTGCTCTTCCGGGAGAAGGTAGACGTCCTGGCTCAGTGTAGATTTAGGAGGAAGCTCAAGCCCCCTTCATCACCCACCACCTTTCTGGCTTCTTGGCTTCTGTCTGGGTTTTTAGAGAGACCCGAGCTCACTCCAGTGTCACTGGTTGAGGAGATGGAAACTGCAGTGGCTATAAACCCAAGGGCGTCCTTAGCCACACATTGAAACTATTCCATGCAAATTAAGTGGGTTTCCAGGAGCCTCTTATTATACTGTGTTAAACTCCTGATAATTGTCCAGATGCTTCTCCACAGCTGGAGCGGCCAAGCCTGAAGTCCTTTTCTTTTTATTCTTCTACGTGATGCAACAGAAGAAACCCAGGGCACTGCTCTGGCCAGAAGGAGCCCTGCTCCAGCCTCTGCTCCCCAGCAGCTGTTCACTGCAGAGAGGGCCTCACAATCAGCTCATCTTTCCTATTATTCTTTGTAATTCAACACATCTTTTTCACAATAGGATATTTCTTCTTCTCTTGTCCTCTGAGTTGGAATGGTAAAAACAGCTAAGGATGAGAGAGAACCTGGCCCCAGCTGCCAACACCCTGGAAAGGCGAGTACATTGCACAGGGGAGTCCTGCTGCACCCCCAGGGTGAAGAGCTTCATGGCTGGCTGTGGGGGCGGCACAGCATCCAGGGAGGGGCAGGGGATACTGAGGCCTGGAGCAGGTAGGGAAGGCTTAACCTGAACTTCCGAGGGTGCCCCTGCCGTACACTTCAGGCAGAATGTGACACAATATGGACACGGCCAATGTCCCTTTTGGTTCCCCTACTAAACCCCAGTCCCACTGCTGTTCTCTGCTGCAAGTGACCAGTGATGCCGTGTTCTAAGGTATTTTTCTATGACTCTACACCAGGGGTCCTCAAACTTTTTAAACAGGGGCCCAGTTCACTATCCCTCAGACCGTTGCAGGGCCGGACTGCAGGCCCCAGGACAAGTCAGCTACTAAGCAGCACAGGCAGTGGTGGCAAAAACACCCGGCGGGCCAGATAAATGTCCTGGGGGTCTGCATGTGGCCTGCAGGTGTAGTTTGAGGACGCCTGGTCTACAGAAGTTTTCAATGTTTTTACATATAAAAAAAATATATGGACTACTGTGGTTGAG